TTAAAGCAACACGATGCACCCTATGTGGGCACTAATAGGCTAGAAACTACAGCATTAATTAGACAATCAAACTGAAAAAAACCCTGCACTAGCTTGTATTAGGAAGAGATCCCTCTCTAATGGCAAATAAATAGGTCTCATGTAACCATTTCACTACTAAGACAAGCCTGAAGGTGAAACAGGGCACCATGTCCGTCACCACGCTGCAAGTTGCAGAGGGCTGGTATGATATGAGCACTGCATCTCAGCTGGGTGCTCCACCATAACTGAAGCAATAAGCATGTCTCCCATAGAGAGCTTCCTTCTCGGTATTCAGTCAAGAACTCTAGTCCATCATGCAGGATCCCAGTACCCCACAATTCACTTGTTACTAATCACAGAAAGCAGCATGAGTCCATACCCAGGAGCCCAGGCAGGTATCTCCAGCCTGCTCACAGCTCTGACACATCCAAATCACGACTAAGCCACTCAAACTGAAAACTTTAAACAAGCTCAGCCCTTTAACAACCCCTAATAGCTAGTCAGTATGAAACAGCAAACAAGGTAGAGGCGGAAGAAAAGGCAAAAACTCTGTCTTTTCGGTCAAATGAAAGTCTGTCACTCACTTCAATGATAGCTGTATTGCTTGTCCAAATCCAGCAACAGCCCACTTACTAGGCAGTACTTTTGCATAAATCACATTTTTAACAAAAAATACTAACAGCAATAGTAGCTTTACTTTTCATTCTGCATAACTGTTGGGAATTTCTAAATTTTGCTGTCACTAGAGGAAAATTTGAAGGAAGTGGAACATATGTGTGCTCTGTCTCTTTCTCCATCTGTCTGTATCAACTTCCTTCCTAATAACTTCTGAACTTGCTGGCCAGTTTGAAGCATATTTGCTACAGCAAAGATTTCTGAAGTCTCTGTTTCAGGATTAGTAAAACTCAGTGGATAGTGAGCAGAAAGGTCCACCCAACACTGAGCATCTCTCTCACCCTTCTGGTTTGGCCAGCCAACCAGTTAGCATAGGTGTAATTCAAAGACAGGCTGTCACTTGCATGGCAAATGATACAGGGGTGCGGGATGGAGCAGGGAAATTATGGAGACAACTATGGGGAAGGAGTCACAGGGAACATGATGGAGAGTGCTGCTGACATATGAAGAAGACAAATCCTTGGAAAAGTAAGATTCAACAGTTTCACAGGGATTGTTTATTTCTTTGACATTTCAGGGATACTTGCAGGGGTTTGGATGTGAAAACATGATAATAAATCTGGGACCTGCTGAGTTAACTCTGCATACAGAAAGAGAAGCAGTATCAACAAATTTCCCACGAGAACCTGCAGTTCCTCTAGGAGTGATCCATTTGTTTCTCCTTCAGGCACATCAGTTCCTCCAGGAGAGATTCATTTCTGTTTTTGTCAAGCACCTTAAAGCACTAGAAGTTGCACTTACAGAAGCCAGACAGGTATCAGAGCTTATCAGCCAGTTCCTTGCCTTCTTCTACAGCCTCCTACTGAGCAACCTCAAAGTGTTTTATATGGCATGCATGTCAAGAAGGGATGTATTGTTATTGGATATATGATGTACATGGGGTAAAACAGACCACGGAGATCTAATTACCTGCCTAAATTTCAAAGTGAAACATAAGGCATGAAGGCAGAAACTGTGTCTCCTGGCCATTCTGCCTTCATGTTTAAGCCACAGCATCATCCTCACTATTTTCTATTGCTTAAACACATGCATTAGAGATCTAGTTATTGCTAAAGGAAACAAACAAAGCAAACAAGAACAACCCCAAACAGCAAGTTACTATTTGAAAAGTGAAACAACAAAAAACCAGATGGTATATGACACACCTCCTTTTCCTCATGGTAATTTCCTCCTTTTTCCCATTATCACTTCTGGCTTTTGAATCGTATTAAAGACAGTCAAAATAGCTCTCATAATGATGCAACTGCCTTGTAATACATGAGTGTACCCTCAACACTAGCATAGTAAAATACAATCCTGGTTTTAGATGTTAATATTACTGTGGTCAATGGTTTTACGGTCTAATTGCACTAGCTGCATCTTTGTTATTCAACAGGCTCTTGGGGTTGTGATACAGGATTTCAGTAAGGATGCACCTGGCCAAATTTCTGATCCTTACGTTCAGGACAAAGCATTTCAAATTGCAGGAGGACATGTACTATAAATATTGTACAAGAAATTTGCATGCAGAAGGCTGAAAAGGGGCTGACAGATCTTGACAAGATCTTCATAAGGAGGGAAAGGCAGGGGGTGCTCATCCGTGACCTTGTATGGGAGGTGGGTGGGCATTCTGTAATCATAACTTCACTGCAGGGAAAACAAAGCACTGCAACAGTTTTTCACAGAATACTGGCCAAGCCGTTTAAAATAAGACATCTGCTCATTTCATCCTTGTGTAGCAATCTGTGAAATACAGCCAAAATTGTTACTAAATCATGCATTGGGTACTGAGAAAGCTGTGCTAGGCTGCTTGACATCAGGCAAGAAAATGTCATGATTATGTTGTCCTCATGTAAAAACTACTTTATGTCCCAGGTTCACTGTAGCAAAAAATCGTAAGATATTTTCCTGGTTATCAACCAAATTCTGATCACAGATACAGAAATGTAAATCCAGGGTGAATCAACTGCAGTAAAGAAGACTCTTTCAGATACCAATGTCCTAAAGGGACAGCAGAGCCTGGCTCCTGTGCGTATAGGGACCAGACATCTGCCTTTACTTAATACTGCCAGACATAAAAAAGCCAAGGTGATACAAAGATGTGGAAAAGCAATAAGGATTAAGAGAAATATACAGTCTTGGATATTTTGAGAAACAGGTTTGTAAACTCATAGCAACAAAAATAAAACAATCTGATATAGCATATTTTAAGACTTGCAAATATGTTAAGGCTCTCTTCAGCCTACTGACCTATGCAATAGAAAGAGAAACGTGAAAAGAAGTTATTCTGTAATTTTACATGAAAAAACCTGGTAGAGCCACCAAGATTAATGAGACCCATGCCCCTCCTACTTCTGCCTCTCACTCTAAAATACTGAGAATGGCAAGGTGACACAGACAGTTGTAGGTCAGACCAATGACAGACTGAATGGTAGCACTACTTCCAGGGATATAGAATGGCAAAATAGTCTTGCTCCTTTGTTGAATGAGAACAGTGGAAAAGAAGAAAACATTTACTCACCTATGATGGTCTTCATCACTTTTCAGCACTTAATTTACCTACCGCATTTGAGATCTGGAGTGTCCCTACCATTAAGGCCTGCATCACAGGGCAGAACAACTTTTCTCATTTGTAACTGAGAAAATCCAGACACACAGGTATAAACAAGACTGCCCAAGATGACAAGTCTCAGAAAAGACAGCATTACTTCAGCATTTTCTAAATCAAAATTAGCACTCTCGCCAAACATCCTTTTGTTTCTTCTGTTGTGTTAGTATTAAAGAAATAAGAACTGGGGAAACGTATCCCAAGTGTTATCTTCGCAATAAGGACTGAACACAAATTGTAGCCTTTGGTACTTTTTTCCTGGGATGTGTTTAATAGCAGCTATTATTCTGGTTGGTTGTTTTACGGAATCCTTGACTTTGCTAAACTCTGCAATTATCTTTATTATTGTAAGAAAATACAAACAAGAACTATCATAGCAATACTAATCCACTGTGCAAAACTAGGACCATAATGAATAGAAGGGAAGTTAGTGAGAGAACCTCAACTACTGATATAACCCTCTAGCCATAAGGATAAAAAGGTGAGGAAAGTGTTTTTTTATAGAAACAATACAGCAACAGGAATACAAATCAAGCTTCATTAATTTATCTTTAAATTTTAATGAATCAGGATGTGTAGTTTACATAAAGAGGATTTACTTGCTAAAACATTTTTGCTAAAAGTACTGTAAATTGCAAGTTAATATCGTTTTCCTGAAATAGAACATCAAAAGTTGAAAAACACTGAAGGAGTGTACAGCAAAATGAGCCAAAATTCTAGCAGAACAAAAATATTGTGGTCAGTCTCAAAGACTGGACCCTTGGAAATCCAAATTATTACTTCATTTCACAAAAGACATAAAAACATTATTTCCAAAGGAAATCCAGCAGCAGAAGCAGGGTGATGTTGGGAGAGGTATAACCTTGGGTGGAAGCTTTGAATGGGAGAGGAAAAACCTGTAGCAATTGGCATTTCGTTTCAGAAATAATTTGATTTTATTCAGGCTTTGTTGCTAAAGAGTAGTCAAGCTGAACTGAAAACACTGTCTTTGTGATTTAGTAACAGTCTATAAGGAGTAAAGTAACTGTAAGGTTAAAGAGGCACCACTTCTCCATGAATATGAGGCTCAGTCAACTTGCACGAAGTCAAGCAGGAAGCCTGAACCCAGATCTCCAAAATCATGGTACAGACTATCCTTGTATAGACAAAGACAACACAAGAGTCTCCAGCTTTCTCAGCCACCAGTTACGTTTTCTTTCATCTGGGAAACATCTAAGTGTCTTGAAGATGTTTGAACACCTGCTCTTACGCGCTTGTGTTTTTTTTAAGCGTCATTATAAAATGGCCATCTCATATGGATATCTTTGCTATGTGCTTAAAAGTAACACCAAAAAAGTGAGTCACTCAAACAACATGTATTAGGAAAGTTTCAGCTTTCCTAAAAGTTGGAAAACTGAAAAGCATCTGCAAATGAAAGCCCATTGGTTTCAAACTGCAAGGCATTATTGCCTCATTTTCCAAGCTGGCAACTAGGGACTTTAGACACACAAAAGCAATAAAATTTGCATGATCACCTAATGTCTCTATTAGTCTGATGAGCTTTGGTACTCAGGGAACAGAGAAAAGGTTGCAGGACAGAGTAAAAGAAGATAACATACAAAAAACCTCAACGCCATTATGCAGCTGTGAAGAAATAGTAAAGCTTCATATTAATTTTGCAGCATTCAGAGACAATATCTGACAACAGAGAGCAAGCAAAGGATAAAACAGGACTCACGTTGAGCTGGAGGTCATCTGTCCACTGGCCAACTAGGCGGTAGCCTGGGGTACTGGTGTTGGTGGTGTGGTACTGGAAGATGTCATAGCGCCCTGGGGCATCACCGTTTTTGTTGAACATCACTGGAGTGCCAGCACTGCCTAGGTGAAAGAAACAAGACAAAATCCAACCAACACCAACTCTTTACAACATCTGTTTTATTTAGTCACAATTGAGAGCTTACAGACTGGCAGTGTGTTTCAGGCAAAGGTAATCCATCACCCAACCATCTAATAAGGGTACTTCAGAACACAGTGGCATCAACCTAGCCCTCTTCCAGAGATTAATTATCACTGCCCAAACATCCCAACTAAAAATAAAACAAAGCAGAACTAAATCAGCCTTACTTCACTCTTGCTTTGCACAAAGCAAGAAATACCAGTAGGCTTTTCTTTCTACCCTCCACCCTCCCTCCTGTCTCTCTTTTCTCAGGGAGTTCTTTAGTGAAGATCACTCCTGTGAATGAAGCCTCTAAAGGATACCAAACCCCCACCCCAAAAATATTCCATCTGCTTCTGAGAGATACTGCTGTCAGAAGTCAGCCCGAGTCTAGTGAATCTTGACTAGCATCCAGAAATAGCTTCCTCCTCCACAATATGTTCTTATTCCCATAATCAGCATGCAGTTGGGATGGAAAAGAACAGACTAAGCTATAAGACGACTGATCCTTGTGTACTTCATTATTTAGGTTCTTATGACCCTGACACAGGCTAAGAAGTATCTCAGTCAGGAACAGTTCACGATCAGGTTCCTAAATTAACTTAATTTGCCATATACTAAGGTGACTAACATAAGAAATGAAGCACAGGGCAAGCAACAAGGCAAGGATATCCCCCCAACCCTTCTTTCATGCCTGGTGCTTAGCAAAGACAATCAGCAGCCTGAAGGTGCACCAGCAATGGGACAGATGAGTCCTGATATTCAGGTGAGTTCTCACCAGAACGTCTGTATTTTATTAGCATGGCATTAGATAAAAACCCTTTCTTAGATGAGAATTCAAAACAGCGTTGCATTTCCTTAGATCTCTAGGTGAAAATTTCAAGGGTGACATTTATTTCAAGACATATTAAAATAGGTTTCAGTAGGGTAGAGTAATATTGTGTCAAGATTGAAGATTATGACAATACTCCATCATATCTATATTCAAAGCTTCTTTCTCCTGCACAACTTCTTTTTTTTTTTTCCCTAAAGCAACGAAAAAATCTCTCCTGTTGTACCATTGAACTTTAAGATTATGGTTTTCTTCATGATTCCCATTCTTTATTGAATTCCAGTGAGTGAAAAGAGATTTGAAGGAGTGAATTAGCATAGTTTCCATTCTAGCCCTGGTAAATTGTTTCCTGTCTATCCCTACAATCCTTTGAGATCAGATAAAAATTCAGTTCAAAGGCTGGTACAGAAAATCTTCCACTGAAATCTCCCCTCACTAGTTCCTTTATGAACGCTAGGCAGATACTTAATTGTCATTACAGATTAATGTAGCCAGAATACATTTAGTGAAAACACTTAGGGTGAATAAGAAGAAATGGCTGTAATTCCTAGGCTTTTCTGGAAAGACAGAACAAATGGTAAAATGGGATTTAGCTAATCACAACTCTTAAAAGGCTATAGATTATTAGTTAAGCTTGGTTTTGTCAGAGCTGACAAAAAAGTACAATTCAAAGAGTAGGAGCTCAAGTGAGGCTCCCAAAATGCAGCATAGACATTTGTAGATTCCCCACATCCTGACAAAACCCTGGCATGGACATGAAAGGTCCATGCCTGCGCATCAACAGGCAGCCTCAGAGATGATGCCGTCATCATAGCCATGCCAAAGTCAACAGTTTTCCATAGGCTGAGGGGAAGCAGCCAAGAGCATGTCCATAATCACCTTCATGGGCTGACAGCAACGTTGCCCAGAACCCTCCTGGCTAAGCCCTGGCCACTCTACCATGTTGCATTGGGTAGAACCAAGCCTCTCCATTCCCTGCCTGGGCACTCAGAGGAGGTTACCCACCTGCCTGCTGACGGTGCTGGTAGGACCCCCATTCCCTACTGGGGCAGGAAGTGGACAACAAGGTTAAGCAGAAGGCCAACATGAAGGATAGGTGCTGTTATGGACCTAAGAGGTCCTAGGGTGACAAAGCAGATCAGGAACCATCACTCCAAAATGTGCAGTTTCTGTGCAAGACAGCTTTTTGTAGGTTACAGTTAACTGTTGCTTTGCATAGCTACATGCAGACAGATTTTAGACACTGACATTTAAAATAATCCTTAAGGTCAGTGGATGCACTTGGATGCTGCGGTGCTGCAAAAAGCAACATGGCACAATACAGCATTGCCTGCTGGGTCACCTCCAGAGACCCTTACAGGCGCAATCCTTTGCGACATTGACCTCCTGCATGGATGTGGATACTTGATAGTCAATAGTAAACACCTGCTGCTGTTTTCAGGTTAAATCACCATTTACGCATTAAAATTATACAGAGAAATGCTGTGAAAAGTCTGGGATCTATAGGGAAGACGAGTATCTATAGAAATGCAAAGAACTGATAATCTCGGGTCATAAGTCAAGCACAAGCATCCTATTTTCTGACTTTGAAGTTGGGTTCCCAGCCAAGGATCTGCTTAGTGAGTGCAAGCCTTCCTTAACCTTTGTGTGGGCTCTAGTGCATGCTTTGGAGCTCTTTTTGTATCGTCTGTCTGTAGGGACCTGTCAGTCCTGGTCGAAATTGCTTTAGCATTTCAGTCTCCGCTCACAATTCAAGTTCATTTGTGCACTTATGAAAATAAGAAAAACTCATGTATGAAAACCTCATTATAGAGAAGAAACAACATTTTCAAACATGCTCCTATTTATTATTTGACTTCTTGATCTTCTAATTATTAAAACACATGGTTGTTTAGTTGTTTTTTGATAATTTAGGATTTATTTTCCTTCTATTGGGATTTACAAGGATTTTGCTCAGCCCCAAGAGCACTTCAGAAGCTATTAGCCTCCAGACTGCAGCTTCTTGCTCATTCAGAGGCTATGACAATTTAATTCATCTTAAGTTCCCTAAAAATAAGCTGCCTTCTCACTACATAGACACAGAGAGTACATGACACCCTTTCACCTGCAGGATGACTTCAAAAACAGACATTACTGACAGAATTTGTAGGATTTCAGTCTCTTAATCACCACAAGATGAGAAATGAATTAACAGGAGAAGGACAGGGTGCTAGACAGGTGTAAATAGCTAAGGTGTTTCTTTACCATTCAGTTCACGTTTACTGCAGTTTGAGGATCTGAAGAGCTCATACGAACAGTATTGTTAGTCTGACACTGACAAAAATACAATCACTTTGCACTTTGAGATTATCAGAATCTCACTGCACTTGAGGTTTTAAGTTTTCCTTACTTTGGGATTTTTTGTTCTCAGTGTAGTGTGATGATATCAAAATGCACACTGAGCTCCTCGTACAAACCCTGTCTCTCTTCATTAAAGCATTGCTTGAGCTCTTTCTGCATGAATGTCATTATACTTTTGCAAGGAAGAAAAGACTCCAAAAGCAGGTACAGACAGGATGATTTTAACTGCACGGTGACAAGGAGGTCTATTACATGCAAAGAGGATCTCAAGCTCATGGGCTCAAGATGCTTGAAAATGGGCTACATTTTTTCTCTGTGACACACACTTTGCGCAAAGCACTCTCACTGCTCTGTTTTCTGGTTTTACTACAAATTTAGACAGAAGTCTCAGAGAACAGGATTTTAAGCATGGACTTTTCAAGTTCTAGCTTCAAAACCCCTGGAAGTGTTCAAAGCCAGGTTGAATGGAGTTTCAAGCAACTTGGTCTAGTGGAAGGTATCCCTGCCCAAAGCATAGGGATTGGAATTGCATGATCTTTTAAGTCCCCTTCCAACCCAAACAATGCTATGATTCTATGATTTTTATGTTTTCAGAAATGTGAATGTCAGGAAGACCCAGGGCTTATTGATCTGGTTCCACTCCTAGGTGGCTTGTCCTTGCACAGCAGCCTGCAGGGAGGAGCACACTCCTCTGACCCTGCTCTCCCAGCCATGACATGATAACTAAGGAACATACAAGCACCGTGTTCCAGGAGCTCACAGATTTTATCAACAGGAATACACTACCCAGACCAGCCAAAGCCTTTCTCACTGCTTCTTCCATTGCTTCATCCCTCTGCACTTTTCAGGCTGGCCTAATCCTTTTGGTAAGTTTTGATGGCTCCTTATCCTGGGCCAGTAGTAAGACCAAGCTAATCCACAGCAATGCTGGGAATTTACTTTTACAAAGTACCAAGAAGAAACTGGTTTCAAAGCATCTTTCCATACCCCGAGGAACAAGCCCAAAGAGGGCTACAGCTGAACACAGAGCCCGGGTGTAGAAACACATGTGCACTTATGCACTATGAATGTCACAAGAAAAAGCTAAACTCTGCCCCTGGATAATCAACTGTAAAATAAATTGGTTCCTTCCCCATGGAAAATGCCAACACCCAGATAGCCAAGTGAAATTAAAGAGGTTTAAAGCTATCCCAGTTTTGCCACCATTCTCCTTCCCGTGCTAAAAAGCAAATGACTACTTCAGTCCCTGTGCTGGACATGAATTACACATATAGAAGCAATAAAAAACACCATATGGCCATGTAAATAAATCACAAATGGAGGGAAAAAATAATCTTTTAAAAGCCTGATTGAGAAAACTCAAATAAGGAAACCGTAGCTGGTGCAAGCCCCTTCCTGGACCTGGACATTAGGCAGCATTAGCTGGACATCCAGTTTCTCATAAATAATTTCTCAGCTCTATTAGAATGATCAGATGACCGTTCAGTGTCATTATAGGCAAGAACTGTCAAGATGACCATGTGTAAGCTGCTTGTCAGTATTAACGTGGCCCAAGTGCAATACTGTACATGAATGCTGTACATTTACAGGAGCTTTGTCATTTATAATTAACCTTCCAAAATGAGGAAAGTAGAACTCCAGAACTCCCTCCCTCAGATCATCCATCTCAAAAGTTGCTCCTGGCTGTAGTTAACACCTTACTTCACCTTTCTTTACTTCAAGGAAAGAAATTAAAATCTCCTCATATTCACCTTGCTATTCATAAGATGATTTATATGGGAAAGAAAAATATCCTTGGCACAAATTACCAAGCTTGACCATGAGACACCAGCTGTGTTCCTGCCTTTAAATCTCTCAGGTCCTATTGGCTATGTGTGGGTTTTTTTAAGTTTATTAATAAAAATGTTTATTAGCTGTAGGCAACGCTTCACTGTGCTGCCAGAGGAGAACATGAAGCTTATGCAAACCTCTTCCCAGGCAGCGACAGCCCTGGCTGCCTCACCCAGTTCAGAAGGATGGTTTTTTTCAGGAGTTTCCTAAATCTGTTCTAAATATGGATTTGGATGTCTAACTTCTGGCTCCTGGCTAAATCTCAGATCTCAGTCTTACACAGAGCTAAGGTTAGAGAAGACCTCCTGGTAAGTACATCCACAAGGTTTATGAAGGAGCAATAGCACTAAGTTGCTGGAAGCAATCTGCTCAGGTGCCTCTGGGCTGACTGCAGGTAAATATTTGTTACCTGAAACAACATTCATATTATGAAACAATTGTCCTGGGTTCAGCAGTAGCAGTCATGTTTCTCCTTCTTGGGTAGCTGGTGCAGTGCTGTGTTTTGACTTCCAGCCTGGGACCAGTGTTGGTGATACTGATGTTTTCGGTTGTTGCTAAGTGATGTTTACCCTGACCAAGGACTTTGTGAGGCTCATGCTCTGCCAGGGAGGAGGCGAAGCTGTGAGGAAGCAGAGATGGGGCGCCTGACCCGGGCTAGCCAAGGAGGCATTCCATACCACAGCACGTCATGCCTGGGGTGGGGGGGTAACTGGGAGTTATCCGGAAGGACACGGGCTTCCGGGTGGGACTCGTTTCTTGGCCAGTGGTATCGTATTCTCTTCCCTTGTTATTTTCTCTTATCATTGTTGTAGTTGATAGTAGCGGTGGTGATTTGTGTTGCACATTGGTTGCTGGACTGTTCTTGTCTCAACCCATGGGAGTTGCACCCTTTCGATCCTCCTCCCCGTTCCTCCGGGAGCAGGGAAGGGGAGAGCCCCGGGGCGGGGGGGGGGCCTCAGTTGCTGTCAGCCCGGCACCACTCACTGGTGAACAAGCTGTCTGGCTAGGGTTTAAACCACGACAACAATATATAGTATGAAACCAAAAAATTACAGTAAAACATATAAAGGCATGAAAGTTGTGCTAATATTTAGGCCTTATTTATACAGTGCAGTGTAGGGAAAATACATGAAAGCCAGTTGTACTGTCTGAAACAGTGGGTTGGTATTACAACCATCACCGCCACACTTGGGAAGCATAGGTGGATAAGAAGACAAAAAGATAAAGTGCTCCCACCTTCATTCCCAGGATGCTTTGTCTCCTCTGAAGTCTTACTAGAGGAAGGAAGGTTGAAGTAACTATTCTAAATCACACAGGGTCTGGCTCTGCAAGAGGACCTGGCCCTTTAAACTGTCCTCTCCCACCTCTTGAGCATGCAGTTAAGCTAGGTTCATCCTCGTAGTTTTCTCTAGGTACAAAACCAACATGAATTAAGCGAAAAAAAGATGTGTGATGCTAACAGACTTTAGGGCTTCAACAGGCTTACTTAGTCAGAGACAAGCTTAGGCTTTTACCCAGTTACTTTTCCCACAGGAAATCAGTCTTCTGGAAGGTATCCTAAAATAGCAGCAGCAATTTCTGTCTTTGGGCAGTAGTAACCTGTTTGCCTTAGCCAAAACATGAAAACACACGGTCTTCTGCCACAAACTAGCATAACAATGAAAAAATCTTGATCTGCACCGAATGAAAAACTGTATAAAGTGAAATTAAGTGGAAAAAAAAAAAAGTCACATGGGTCAACGTGCTACTGAAGCAGTGGGCTCTGCTCACCGTTGAAGTTAACACTGCGGATGTACTTGAGCAGCTTTTTGCCTCCTGCATGCTCCATCTCAGGGCAGACCCCAGGGTAGTCAGCACAGAGGTCCTTGTTCATGTGGTGCAGAGCGTGTGCCATGGCATACACAGCATCGATCACGAACTGGACCTTCCCCTCCTGCTCATAGTGGGAATCTTTGCCAATTCTCTCCTGTCCTGCATGTTAGAAACAAACACACACACACAGAAGGACAGTAAGGAACAGTGATTTCCTGATATCAAATACAAATGAATCCTCCTAGAGCACACTTAAAGAACTGAATGCTTTAATCAATATCAAAAAAATTAAGTTATGGTTTTACTAATTGAAACAGAACCAAGCCTTTTGTGATAGTAGGATAATTAACATTTCTTGCGAGTTATTCTACCGCGGTCCAAAGAAACAAATCCTACCATAATCACAACCTTGAAACTAACCTGCAGGGACTATCTTAAAGAGAGAAAACACCAGACTCTGTGTGCTCCCAAAGTATATCTTTGAAAGAAGAAGGCATTTAAAATAAAGCACAGCTGGTATTTAAAGTCTGATGTTTTGTTCTGCTGCAAATCCCAGTCTCTAATTGAAAGACAGCCAGATTGAGGGAAGAAAGAATCACTTCAGAGCTGCAACCGAAGGGGTGCTCCAGAGAACTGAGTGAAACATGCCTGCTATTAACGCCACCTCAGGTAGCTCAGTCTGTTTGCATTAACTACGCACCCCTCCTCTTTCCAACCTACAGAGACTGAAATGCCCTTCAGAATCCACTGATTGCCTTTAAAATATTTTAGCAGGCAAGAACTCAAGGAATCCAAATGCTTAATGTCATTCCAACTGCAACAGGGGAAAAGCAGTGGTTTTAGAGTCATTCCTTGATTGCTGCAGCGCCCAGCATGTTCGAAACTACAAACCCTCTGCCTCAGAGATCTTCCTATCCAACAGGCCAAGGCATAAGAAAAAGTTTGAGAGAAAGGAAGCATATTTGCATATGGAAACTTGGAACACAGAAATTAAACCACAAAGGGCCAAAAGAACTCAATTGCAGTGACAAAAAAAGTATTTCAGGTGTTTGGCTCATGCCTTAACCATTCTCTCCCTCTCAGACTTGATATGGATATGTAATATAACTGTAAAACCAGGGAAGAAGGTGGTCTTGTTTTTATGGTTGTGTGAACTGCAACTAAGCAAACCAAACCGTATATTCAGAGCCTGAAGAAGGCACAACAGAGAATCGGGAATCTCTGATTTTTATTTTTTTTTTTTATGACATTGTCCACTCACTTCTTGTTTTACCTTGTCCAAGTAACACCTGCATGATTCAATCTGTCCAGCTGAAAGATGTGTGATTATACTTCCCCACCTCACCAGGGTTTTGTGAAACATAATTACGGCTTGTGAAGTGTTCTGAGCTGCATTGATGAAAGCAGCAGAAGTGCAATCTATTCTTTTCCAAGGGTGGCCACACTCCACTTGTTTTACCTGCAGCATCACACTTATTTCTAACCTCACATAGGGCTTGATCACCTTCCTGCAGTACCTGCAAGTCTGCCTACTGCCAGGAGCTATGAGAAACCAGCGCTTGCAACTATTTGAGAGACATCCAATCAAAGTAAATGTTCAGTTGGAGGACACAAGTGGGAGAAATTTCTTTGTTAACATCCTTAATTAGAAATAGGGATGAGTGAATTTAAATTAGCTGATTGATACCAATAAGAAAAGGAAATCAGGTTTTTAATGAATGTGAGAACTAATGGTTTTTAACAGAAGCAAAAAGTCCATTTTTCTGTTGCTGCTCAGCTAAAATGTTTGTACCAGCTCGGGAGACAAAGGCAGTTCCCCCCAAACAATCCTTTTTTTCTCTTGAGTGGAGAGGAAGTAGACCAAAACTACAAAAAAAGCACACAGAAATCGCCACCTTGTAACAGAAATTCTACCAGCACAAATAATGTCTACATATCCATAAAAATCATTGAAGATAAGGAAAGATGTTAATCCCCTTATATGAACATCTTTAATGATTCAAATTTTTCCCCCTTCTTTGGTTACCTCTGTAATTACCAAACTGCACCTTTGATGTCTAATTCACTCAACCTGCATACCATGTTTGAGAGACCCATTACCACAGCCCCTCAATTTTAAATCTCAGCTACACTGGAAACATTGAAATCCTGCAAATAATTCAGCAGTGTAAGACAGCTTCCAGACTGTGAAGATCCACATACTGTCCTTTTCATTATTTCACTCCCCTCTCATTGATTGCAGAACTTACTATATTTCCAGGCCCTGACAAGGAAAATGCTTTTAAGTGGTTTCAGCTCAGCTAAATAACCAAATTAGCAATGCAACAGAAACGTATGCCAACGGAAGTGAATCTGGGATTGAAATGCTGCACACAAACAATACTGATTAGGCATATTAAGTTCCAGAAGCATGGCTGGCCAAATGCACAGCAGGAAAAAAAAACCTTTAGCAGTGAAATATCTGTGAAAGGAACCTGAGCAAAATCCACTTTAAAAAGCCCCAAAGAGCAACATTAGCAGTGTCCCAGTATGAAAATAATAAAGATTTGAAAAACTCAATGGAATTTCCAGTAAAAAGAATGCTTTCCTGTACTAGAACCAGCCACTTAGTTGAGTTTATTATCAAGAATTTGTGCAAAATAAATCCAGATATATTGTCAATTCTAACTGCCCTCCCAGAAAACATACAGGAACTTATACAATTAGAACAACAGCTTGCTATCCTTCATCTAGAACATAGGTTACCTTTTAAAGTGGCTTTATTGCAATTAAAAGTTTAGTCCAAATTTGAACTAGAAATGAACCTGCAAAGCAATTCCCATATTTTATATATGTCAAAAAGCCTCCAGACTTCAACACTAAAAAAAAACAAAATTAAAATATCCAGTTGAACAGTGCTCCTTCTAGTTTATATCAAACTACCACCATATTAATCCAATGAGCAGCAAATCAGGCCCAAAGTCTGTTCTCAGACAGGAATAAACCTAGGTGATGGGCACAATTTTATTTCCAACTTCAATGGTACTGTGACAATTATTTCCCCCTCCTTGGTTTAGCTGAAGAAACCAAGCAGAAAATTTTACCACATGCTTCAGGACTAGCTCCTGCATATATGGCTGTAGAGAAATTCAGTTATTAATTATTCCTGGAATAAAAAACCCAGAAGTCATTAGCTTCTTACAGCTAAACATAGCAATCCCAGTGCTGTGTATGCCTCCTAGCAAAGAGGTAGTCTTGAACCCCCAGCCCAGTCTTGTTAGAGCACTGTGGACATCTCAAAGAAGCAAAACTTGGTGCAAGAGAAAGGATGAACTCAGGTGTTGGGTGCAGCAAGAAACCATGCACCCTCCATGCTTTTAGAAGACACCAAAAGCACAGAAGGCAAACATAAACCCCATTTGCACTATGATATGGGAATCTTCTGCTCCTCTTACATGCCCTGTTCTTTACAGGTTGCCTTTTTATCTTTTTCTTTTTAACTCTCCATAACTTGGTGATCTCAGGAGTCATGAGACAACATTATTTTCTTCAGCAATGAAGTAGCTGACACCTGAGACATATACACACAAAGCGATTTCATGAGAATGCACTTCTGCTCCATGGAATTGAAATGGAGTACCTTGGGATGTCAGGAGAAGGATGAAACACAAAGGCAATTTATTGACATGAGCAGTTTTTGCTTCCAAAAGATCTATTTGAAGGTGATGACAAATAATTTAACCTCACTTGTTACTAGAGTCTCAAGTGCCCACCATTATGATTCCTACAAGACTGAGCAGTTAGGTCTCTTGCTTCAGGCAAATCTTCACAAGAGAAAAATACTGCAACAAAGAGGAAAAAAAAACCAAACCCCAAACCCAGAGTAGTGACAATACAGAGAGAAAGAGGTCCTCTTGTACTATCTCCTTCAGATGACAGAAATTAAATGCAAGTTTAAGTACTCTTGGTCACCCTTTCTGCATCTCCACAAGGGTGATGCTTAACACCTCCTTGTATGGAGAAGGAGCTGACAAAACAGTTTTTCATACTGCATTTTCTCAACATCTCCCCTTCAGCTGATTTTTCTGGGCTCATCATTGATCATAATGTACGGGATATGATACGATGTAGACATAGTATTGCAAGGACAATTTTTATCACATATAATTGATACAGATAGTTATCAAAACCCCACTTCTTTGGTGCTTACATTAGCTGAATTCAGACATTGGTTCAGTTTCTGAAGGATTAAACACATTTTCAAAGGAACTTACATAGCTGTGCTGCTAAGAACCCAGTGGTAGTCGTCATTAGCAAGAGATTTAATTTAAAGATTGTGGAATGCTCAAAGTCTCAAACAAGCAGCTATTATTTGTACAAGTTAGAATTCAGCAGCTGGTTAAGTGCTGACAGAAAAATGCATACTCTTCATCCATCTCCGGCATATTTAAGCATCATTAGAAGCCTGATGCTTGTGAGCAGAGAGACATCCATGAAGCAACAGCTACAATTATTAGTCTGTAACTGTGCAAGTGCCTATACATGCTATTTCATAATGATACTGAAGCTTCCTCCAGCTACACACAGAATGCTCAGCCTCTGCAGCTGCAATGGCTGTACTTGTGGTACTCCAGAAACATGCACAAGAGCAGAAAAGAAATGGATCCATCTTTAATAGACAAGTACCTATATCTAGGGCTCTTCAGAATAAGATCAGAGCTATTACTCCTAGGATATTCACTCATGATATAGACATTACTGTACATACAAGGAGGTGTAAAGTCTGAAAGCTTCTCCAAATAAGCTCTTTATTTGAAAGTAGCTGAGTACTACAGCTTGAGAAAAACTAACAATATGCTAGAGTAAATATTGTAATTTAAACAAGTAGAGCATGACAATCAGCCCTCTTTGCAATATAATCCATGTATTGTCATTTTACAAAGAAATGCGAGATTCAATAACACAGCTATGTAGTTACAGTCATCTATCCAGCCCATCCTAATTCAGAAGATCTCATTATAGACACAAGCCATTATCTTAAACCCATCAATCCAGTCCTCGTGGATTTTCTTCAGGAAAACAGATGAACTTTCAAGTTTCTACTGCTAACCACACAAGAACGTCCTTCTGTGGTAGGACAAAATTTCTGCCTTACCTCTAATGGCTAAAGAGAAATCTTG